CACAGCAGTCGTATAGCACTTGGTGTGACACAAAAAGTGGTGTTAGCAGAAAGAGGCTGAAGATGGCAGCCTTGCCGAAGCATCCTGTCAGAAAGGAGGAACATTATCCCCCGGGAAAAAGGACTTAACCTAGGGACCGCATGCATCTATCATAGGGGTTTTCTAAAAAAGGGATATTTGATTTCCCTGTCCATCTTTGAGAGGTCAGAAATATACCTAAGAGCCAAGTGCTTAGGATCCAAGAAAAAACCTGAACTAGACTCCAAGGACTTAAGAACTATTTCTAGGGCAGTCATGTGGACAAGGCCCTTGCATTCTGGCTCCTATTTTTGGCTCTGGCACTGTGTCATGTTGGGCAAGTCTTCCCTGCTCTCAGGCTCTCACCTCTCCTCCCACTCTCAGCCTCTAGTTAGATAACTTCTCTGAGGCAGAGGTAGGATAACCCCTGATGAAGCCTCTGGGCACAACCACAGAAACAGCCTTCCAGCTAGCTCTCACACTGCCAACCAGCAGTTCAGTGTTTTCATCCCTGTAACTGTTTAGTTATGATCATGTTTAAAAGGCCCAGTTAGGACTAAAGGCAGCACCCTCTCTGTGCCATACACACAGTAATGTCTACACCAAACAGCTGTACTGCAGTGGTTTTCAAACATTGCAAGGGTGTGTGGATCCAAGTCGATTATGAGTGTCCAAAGTCTGAAACAGAAACAAATTAAAGTCATTACTTTCCAAACTGCGTGTTATTCACAATGCATATACCCTTGTGTGGATTATTTTAAATTTGTATTTTGTCTGTATTTTGTATTTTGTCTGTTGATTGTTGTCACTTCACAAGCAGGAAGTGATACAGGGAATTTACTTCTTGCTCATGAGTTTTCATTTGAGATGCAAATAGCAGAGGCCAAAGGCTTGGTTTGTTTGGTTTTACCTGGCATAAAGGAGCAGAGGTCTCCACCCAATGGACAGATGTAGCCCAGGCAGCAACAGTGGATGCTGTTTTGCTGCTGAGGAAAACAATACAGTAATGTGCTATACAGATTTAATCTCCATTATGTTTCAATATCTTCATCTAAAATTGACACCTGAAGGAGGAATTAAAATACAGGTAATCCTGCCAAGGCAAAGCTTTTTGTGTTTGCTGACAAAATCTTGAAGACTAAAAATAAAGAATTTGTTTGACTTGGTCCACGTACTTGTTAACCTCTGCTTTAGTAAAATGTAGAAAAGTCTTGACTCAGCATGGTGGCATGTTGTATGTCAAAATTGGTGGCATATGGCAAATTCCTGAGTCTCAGAAGGCTGAAATCCGCTAGTGTCCATGAAGCATCAAAGGAAAATTCTGAACGTCTCATAACATTCATCACATGGAATTAAGGCATTGCTTTTCTGCTGCAATAGCCTGGCTAGTGGACCTACTGCCACTGTCCACAGGCTGCATAAACAAATACTAGTAAATGAGCAGTCCCTAGCAACGTTTGTGTTTAGAGTAGAAGGTGATTGCTTTGATCTCTGCTGGCATTATACATCAGTGGGGAAAAAACACTAGCAAAAACGTATTTTAACAGGAGGCAGCCATTCTGTATCAGCTGAACAGAAGCAGGACAGAGGCAAGACATGTAAACAGAAACTCTTGGCTTATTGCATCCATGTTTTCCCTTCACACTTGCATGAATAATTCACAAAGCCATTAATGCTAAATAGGAAAAAAATCAATACTGTTCTTGAGTTCCTTGAAGAACAATCTTCTCTGTCTGGGACCGCAGGAAGAAAACATGTCTGCTGACCTGACAGGTTCCTCCTAGTGATAGACCTGCAGGCAAAGTCCTATTGTGAACATGCTAAAGTTCATCCTTTGCACTTTTCTTGTGCTCCCATCAAAGAGTAGCTGGTTGTTAACTGCAGAAACCCTTGGCTGACTTAAAAAATAACAACCAAAGAGCTTGCTTTCTTTGCCAAGTGGCCTTTGTCTTCTAAAAAGATATAACTGTCATAAAACACTGATCACCTATCTACTGATAAATTGGTTTTGAATTCATTTCATCATTACATTTTGTTTGTTTGTGCTGTAGCCTGCGAGAACACACAATTTCTCTGCCAAACTTTTACCAGTGAGGCTGTTTTCCTAAGAGAGGAGAACATTTTTCTTTCAAGCACTAGGACCATACTTTCAGCACAGGTAAGACAACGTGATTTCACCGAAGACAGAAAAAATGCTAGATCTAACAATTTTCCATGCTTTCATTTTTTGAAGTCCTATTTTCTGTACAAAGGCTACATGTAGTCATGCTTTCTAGTGGAGTATTCTCCAGTAAAACGGGCAAGCCATGAGAAAGAAACACCCCATGAGAATATATCAGAGTTGATAAACTTGGAAGAAAACATTTTCATATATCTTTATTTTCAATTTTATTTCACAAAGTACAGTGCATGCAAAAAAAAGCTTCAGTTAAAATTATATGTCACAAATTTATCTAAACCACATGCTCCAAATGGATCAAAAAAGGTTTGGTTTGTTTTTTAACTTCATGCAAAGTTATCAAGATTCTTAAGTTTTGTTCTATGAACACTAGTAATACTATATTTTTATGTCTGTTGTAAGAATGCATTTACATTTATTGCCTTAATATGCACAGCTATATAATGTAATGCATGATTTTAACAGAGGTTTGGATTGAATTGAAGACTGAGAAAAAATGTGTGTGAAATTCTCATCAGTCTTACCACACTGCTTTTCTGAATGATTTATTTGTATGTTCCTTTGGCTACACTTATGTTATCCTGCCTACTTATCAGAGACTACCAAGTTTTGGCACTATGGAGCACTGCAAACCTGGTATCCAAGATGAGGGAAATCTTGTTGAACTGACTTGGAAAGAGAGCCTGGACAGTGTCACCTCATGTGGCAGCCATTCTCCCTTTGCTAAGTTAATGTACACGTTATTGGCTTCTAGTGGGTCAGATCTAATAAAAAACAGCTTTTCATCTGTCTCCTGTCACTGGAGCCAGGCAGCTTCAGCATATAAAACAGTTTCATCTTATGTAAATATCTGTATTTTATTGGAAATAAATAGGGTCAGGGTAGTTACCCTGGTACTCCCTTTTATCTTCTGCTGTTGAGGCATGGCAGGTAGCCAGCAAAACACTTGGGGGAATTCTGCACTCTCTCATCTGTCTTTGGGCTGCAGGAAGGTCATGCTTTCTCTCTCCCACTGCATTTGCTATAACTCCTGTAAAAATTGATACCCTTTATACAAGGAGTCAGATGTTTTCAGCTTCACTTTTTATCTAGGAACTTAAGTGGAATTTCACCTTCTGCTGTCATGGACCTCTAGTTGTTACTACACTGAAAATGAGTACAGGGAGCCTGACTTCCACAGACCCTTTAAGCCTAGCATTGTGGATTGACAGAGCTGCAGTCTTGTGGGCTCTATACAGGAAAGACAAGGACTCATAAGCACTGTGCACTTCATAAACACAGCACCCACCCATGCCCCATCTCAAAAAACTTAACTTCCATGATTTAGAAATCTAGGTTTCTAGGAGTTCAACAATACAGCTACAATTAAAACCCTATTAAAAGATCTGAGCTTAGTTTCTCCTTACAACGAGAGGGAAAATGTGAACACGCATGAAGGACATTAACGGAAGCAAGTGGAAACAAACAGTATCCTAGCTCAAACAGATAGCAGGAAATAACACTGCAGTGGAGACAGCTGCAGGCCTTAGAATCTGAACAAATGCCCCACACAGCCTTGGATGTCTTAGAGGTGCCTGTGCTGGGGTGACTCGGTGAGAGGTGGAGTCTGTACTGCTGAAGTGGGGAGAGGAAAGAGAATGGACTAATGCAATGGTCATATGAACAAATCCCAGGAGCAAATGTTTTCCAGGTGTTCAGCATCCAGCACTTTTCATTTGGATACTCTAAGCACAGGGTTTGTGGTCATTTGGCCTCCCATCTACAGCAGGATTTTATCACTTGGAACATAACAGCTGAGACTCCTCATTAGTCTTGGAAACAGGATCTTTGGACCTTTCCAGCAAGCAATATACTTGCACATTTTAAAGTGAGACATCTCTGCTTGTTTCTGCAAGTTACCAAATATGCTGGAATCTGTATGACGAAATAAGTGCATACTGAAATTAGTTCTGTAGTGGTAGAGGAGCATCAGAAGGCAATTTAGCAATGGTTTTCCCTTCATGACCTTAAAAGCGTCTGCATTCAACTCAACAAATCACCTAGAAATTAAAAAACTTCACCACTCTGTTAATGTGGGAGGGGTTTGAGTATCTGAACAGATTTTTGCATCAAGCACAGGAGGAGATGCAGACAGCATCTTCAGGGCAAAAATGCTACAGTAAACCCAGCAGACATGAGAATCTGCAGCATTAATACAAGGAGCACACGACAAGGATGGCACTGTATTGCACACCACAACCAGGCCTGGCAGGCTGGCTTTCCACTGTGCTTGGAGAGGAGAAACAGTGAAGAAAAAAATGTATATGTCTTACTCCAGAACTTTATTATCTGTGTATTGATTGAAGCTTCCCATATAACAAAATACCACTTAAAATGATACTGTACTTTTCTGTTCATGCCAGTACTTTAAGGAAGGAAAAAACATGCTGAATGTACAGTAAATTAACTTACCTTTTCATATTTTATTTTTTTTTCTTAAGTGATATTAAAGCCTGTATTTCCCAAAAGGGCATTAAGGTTCTATTTCACCTGGCAGCGTTAGCCAAGCATACAGCGCTGCCACCTCCTGGTCCACAGCAAGAGCCACTCGTGCCTGTTTGACGGATGAAGCAGGCTGCCTGCATTTGATGCACCCTTCAGATGCCCGTGTCACAAATACAATGCAAAGGGTGAGGGTGCAACATGCAAAGAGTAACTTAAAACTGTGTAAACCAGCATCTGGACAGAAATCAGCCTCAACTCAAATTAACATAAATGTACATTTTATATAGATACCTGTCCTTAGAATACCTTGTAGGTGTGTTTTATAAAATGATATTAAAAAACATGACAAACAAAGTGGTTATTTGAAATATAATATACAGTTTATTTTATTGAATGTGTGTACATACTTATATTGTATGTAAAGTTATAGATTATATGAGTAAAGAAAACTGCCCATAGCCATATCTGATGACCATTTTTTTGGTTTAAATCGATTATATCCTTGATAAACACAGTATATAATGTATGAACAAATGAACGCTTATGATGTAGTTACAAAGTAAGCTGTTTAATAGATGTTTGTATAAACTTAGAAGATAGTATTTAATAGCTATGCCATATAAAAAGAAATATACCTTAATAAATTACTTATTAACCTATTTCTTAAAATTCTGATATGCAAGGATGCAGTATTTCCCCCAATATTACTCTAATATCCACTGTGTAGATATTATATGTCTTTCACCACATGCATCTTTCGTATAGTCAGATACGAGTATCAGGGGATATTAACTGATGTCAATGATCTGCAGTTGCACACAAACCATGACTACTGATTAGTAAAGCAATTATCATATTAAAAGAGTTCAACAGGGCTCAACATACTGTAAAATTAAAAATCAGTCAATACCACAACCATTACATAGAACATCATTGATTGGATGTACTAAATGCTAGCCTTGATGACAATTGATCACAATGAACCCTACTCACAAAGGAGTCTGGTACACTAATTGAAGAGCCAGTGTTAAATAGAATAATAAATATAGGAGGAGGAGGATGGGAGAGGAGAAATGTTAAGATCCTTCCCATCTGTACAGCAACAATAAAATAGCAATAAGCCAGGAAGGCCTCTTTCTCTACTGTATGTCCACTAATTTCTAAGCCTACTTTTCCAAAATCAAATGCACCTGTGAATGCCTCACAGACCATCTCCACAATCTGCACCACAGCTGGGAAAAATGTTCAAAAGAACCTGAGCAATAGGTATTTCACCTCAGCACAAACATTGCCAAAAGCAAATCCTACAGAGAGGCTAAAAAACCTGGAGGTCCCACTTGTAATGCATCTGTGACCTATCTCCATTGGCTTACTTGAAATCAGGCCTCAAACTGCACACATAACCAAAACATGTTCCATAGAGTGCGTTGAGGTTAAAAACAAACAGCAGATGAAGGCTGCTTTTCTTGCTTTTGTTCAAGGCAGGCTGCACAAGGAAGAGTTTGCATAAAATGCTGGGTTGTGGAATTCAGCTCTAACTGCTCACTGTTCTTACTACAGCTTAAGGAAATCTGTGTAGGTAGAATACAAGTTCAGAGCATCTGCCTCATTCTCCTGAAAACATGTTTTCTTCTGACAGTGTCCCCAGCCCCTGGTCAGGAGCAAATAGTTTCGAGGTACTGAAGAAACTCGTGACAGCAAATGAAGCGCCATACTGCCCTCAGGAACATCTCAGGCTTGCTGGCTCTACTGAATTTTAAAATACAAGTAGAAGGTCAGAGATTAGATCCCTAACTGATTTTGAAGCAACTGAAGGACAGAAGCATTTCTGATTTAGATTTATCATAGCTAAGAGGCAGCCTGGGGAAAATACACTGAACACAGGGTGACGAAACTTAGAACAAGTACATGCATTGCTGGTGGTACACCATGACTGATAATCAAAGATCCTGTGTTTGAGATATACGGAGTTATTTCTATGTTTTCATGTTTTCCTGGAAAGTAGGAGAAATGAAAGATTAATTCCTCGGAATTAGATAACTCAGCAAGGGAGAGATCGCTACCGCTAACTAGATGCCACTAGATGGCATGCTGCTCACATTTCTCGTCCTGCATGGATGTAGAATTATTGAAACGGATCTTAAAACAACAGCGAGTCAAGAGGGGTCTCCCAATAACGTAAAGCAGGTCAGCAGAAGTTGTAGAGAGAAGAGCATTTCAGACATTCCCGAAGATAAGACATAGCTGTAGGAAAAGACATTTGGAGTCAAGAGAATTAAGGACTCCAGCAACAGTTAACATCACTTAGGTGTTTAATGTGTAGGTATCAGAAAGCAGCATCAAGTTACAAAGCAAGGCTGTGCTTTACAGTGTAGGTCTCCCCTACACTGATTAGCCATACCAGAAGGCCCTCATATTTTATTTGGAGAAGACCCCACCCAGTCAATTAAAGGTGCAAGGTCTACTGGGTAACGATCTGAAAGGATGACATGTTAAGTGGTAAACAGTAGAGGAAGTTTGTCCTCTTGAAGAAGACAGAGCCGCAGGCTTCTCTCAGATGGTGATGCAACTTGGCTGTGTAGCTTGCACAGCTAGAAACTGAATAAATAAATAAGCCAAAAAAAGCATTACTTACACTGACAGATTGGGGGTTTTTTTAAGTTTGGGCTTGGTTTTTTGAGTGCCTGATCCACTGAAATACTCATTCTCTTCCATCCAAGCTTACCACTTGGCACAAATGATCCAGAAATAATTACAACAGAGGATAACAGAGGTCAGGTCACAGATTTTCTTTAATTTGTGTAATGCATACAAACAGACACAGTAAGGAATACAGCAAGGTAAGAAGATACAGTATAAAAGATGTGTTTTGCTATGACATTGTCCTTGGCTGCAACTAGTTTATCCCACTGTCGCACACACAGGCATTAGGGACGCTGTTCTGGTGTTTGTCAGTAGGACCCTAGAAAGTCTATGTGAAAATCAGTGAGGGGGGAGGGATAAGAGAAAACTGGGATCAGGCAGAAGTTGCAGTATTAGAGAAACCTTTTTTGGGTAAAATACAGTTGCCCCTTTCAGGGTGCTTGGCATGCACAGAATCTGCTCCACCATGGTTGCCTAGGCAAGACAACCTGCCTGGATGGTACCACACAGCTGATAAGCCACATGACAGTTGTCAAAAGGGAAATGTAAGAGATGCCTGTTGCTGAGTCAGCAACTATGGCAAAATCACTTTCCTTAAGGGAATCTTGCTCGTTATGATGTTGTTGTAATAGCAACGTAAACCTCCACCCCAAAGTTACTTGCCTCCAAGGTACAACCACCCTTCTCTGAGCACACACTTTATCTATTTCATTGGCTGCATCTTTAAAAGTGAAAGAATTTTACACCAATCAATAATAAAAGAATGGATGACTACAGTCACTCAAGCTCCACCTGAAAGTGAAGTATAGAAGGGGGGAGGAGTTGGAGAACAGTTGTAACCTCTGGGATCAGTTGACATGCTGAACCTGTCTTCTCCCCCACAGGGACACCTCTTAGGCAAGAACTTTATATTATGCATGCTGAATAACTAACCCATGCTAGCTAGCAATTATAGTCTGGTTGTGTATCACTTCAAGCTTGTTTTTTGCAGACAGTATCTTATCACCAGCAATCTCTGAACCTTATCTTGTCACAAACTTGTGTTTTGTATAAATCTCCAACTGAAGTCCCTTTTGTATGAGCCCCCAGAGACTTGAATAATTGTAATAAAGGATTTAACCAGGGGATGCTGTCGGTGCACGTCTCTGAACAGGTTGGTTGAATCACACTCCAGTTTGGGGGGCTGTAAAGTGAGGTCCCCCTAATGAGACACTGGACAGGCTGGTCAGACACAAGAGTCCCAACTTCCTTAGGAAACTGGTCAAACGTAAAGAGTTTGAGGACACCCCCCTTGCAACGTGACAGTAAAACCAATAGGCATGCGGGACAAATTTAGACATGGAGGTGCAAGCACTACACAGTCCTTTTAGACATAAGCCATTGACTAGGATTGAATCCAGATGCACCCAGCCTCTCTAGTATCTGAGGATCAGCTGGAAAGCAAGGGGGTCCTTCTTGAACCTGCTGTGTGGGAGGGTCTCTCTAACACATCTTGTCCACTGTCATAGGCAACCACCAGTTCCACAACAGCTTCCATCCCTGTGACATGGATGGTGAAGTCAGTGACTGCCTTTTTCCCTTTGACATCCAACGCTTCTTTTCAACTTGCAATTTGGAAAACATATTTTGGCGAACTGCTTAATATCCTAATATCTTCTAAAATCAGGAGAGCTGCCTCTACAGCACAACACTGACTGTGGCTCACAGAAAAAGCACCAATCCAGGTACAGAAGTGTTTTATTACAAGTTCAGAAGTTACTGTTTAAGCCTTCAGTGTAATGCAAAGATTTAAAAAAGGTAGTTTAATGAACCTCATAATTTATTCCAGATTCTTCTCATTCAATATCAGTGAGAATTTTACTAATATACTGTAAATCTTCCTACTTACATAAATGATATCTTTGTTTAATACAAAATATTAGCTCTTCATGGTTTCCCTGCTGTGTCATTTGCAAAGTATCTTACAGGGACAGAAAGAGAACATGTCAGGTTTAATGTAAAAAATAGCCCATTTTCTGGTAGAGATTAAGTAATTTAAGACATGAGATAAAATAAATACCATTTAACAAACATTTCCATTTCCCACAGATCCATTTTCTATTACCAACTGGCAGTATTTTTTCTGTTGCTCTTCCTTGAAAGACTCTTTGACCTTTTTCCTTTTCAGCCCCCCATCCCTGAAAGATACAGAAAAGAAACAGCCTTGAGCTCACTTCAGGTTGAAAAAGGCAGAGAAACATTACACTATTTAGACTACATAGTCAAAGCAGTTTTCACCCCAAATGTTGGCTTTTGCAATACAATGCTAAATGATTTGTACTGTAAAGATGTACACAACACAAGCAATGCCTTGCCTTTAACCTCCTATTTAATAAGCAAATAATTTCTTTTCACCAAATATTACCTCCTGGCTACATTCACCTGTCAGATCCATTTCTCTTTTTATACTTTATTATTCTATTTATCCTTGTGGACTTGTTCAAGGAATAAAGTAGTATTTTCTGAATCAAAGTCATGAAGGATGATGGACTAAAATGCAAGCAAAGCAAATTTGGAAGAATTTTTAAAGGATTCCAAGCTAACATTTCAGAACACCTAAAAATGCTTTAAACCCAACCTCAAAGATATTGCTTCTTACCAAGGAAGAACAGACATTCCTGCCCGAGCAGCAATGACAGCCTTGACTCTGTTGGCAAAGCAAACAGCATCTTCTTCTTCCTGACAAAGAATGAATTACTTGCTTTGTAACTGAAACATTTTCTCTGTGTCTTACTTATAAGGATACTTCTTGTTAGACAGCAGGCACTTGGGTTCATGCCAGGCCCTCAAGCCAAGTGTAACATACAGGGCAGTTCCAGATGGTACTAGGGAAAACTTCCTGCTTTGCTACCATTTGATGCCAAAAAGAACTGAGTGGAAGGCTCCATGTTTTCTGGGGCAATCTCAAACAATACACAGCATGAGGTCATAGGTCTGTCCAGAACTGGAAATACATCTGCTCCCAGCACTTCGGCTGTTGTATAAAGCTGCTGGCAAAAGATAAGGCGGGTATTCTGCAGGGCTGAGAAACAAGGAAGTAGAAGGAAGCTGTGCAGATGAAGGTAGTGTGGGGACACACGGCAAAAGCATCCCAGTTTGGAGTGAGGAGAAGGCCTGAATCTATGTATTACGTGGGGAGTAAAAAAGGAAGGTCTGTGCCAGGCTGAGGGGCAGTACTCCTGCAACATAAAACCACATTTTAACATCTCTTTTAGTCTCTGCAAGTAGAGGAAAGCAAGGCAGCTCCACCCAAGTAAAGAAGCTGTTCGGCAGCAATAGGGAGCATGATGCAGAAATGTCTGAATACCTGCAAGAGTAATTTTTACTTGAAAATAATTAACCCAAGTAAATCTGTGCTCACTTAATTTTCAGACCACAGTGTTGCTTTCTGGCCTTTATCTATTAAGCTGTCAATAAAGACTTGCAAACATAATGCCAACACACCACGTGTAGTAATGCAGACTTCCCCCCAGACAACATTTTATGATCATTTTCAAAGCATGTGATAGCATAAGTACCTCTTTGACCATTGGTGGCAGGTACCACACATTACAGACAATAGCCCAGCTGGTAAGCATATTAAAAATATAGGTCATCATGGAATGCTTTGTGCTGTTCCAGAATGCATCTCCAAAGCGGGGGTCATACTGAAAAACAAGAAAAGTAAGCAAAAGGGCATGATCTGCTACCTTAGTTTAAATCACATAAGCTGCTTTTTTTTGGCCACAAAGTCACAGTTCAACTTGTTAAATCAGAGGCAAATCACACCTCCAAAAAGCAGCAGTAAATTCAGAGTAAAGCTCCACATTTTAGCATTCATTACAAGTTTTTAAGTTGACCTCCACAAGCAGCACAGACCACAAACTGTGACAGACACATTGAAAAACATCTCAACAAAACAGATCTATTAAAAATGTAAAGACTTGTTACCTACAAATATGCTGAATACAAAGGTTTCCTTGGTAATGCTCACACCAGTTTTAACAATTTCCATGAGAATTTCCATAAGAAATGCAACATTACAGTTGCAGAAAAAGCAACTAAGGTATCTAGAGCTAGGTTTACTCAGAAAGCCTTGAAAGTGCCAAGAAAAGTGCCTTCATACCCAAAGCACACAAGAGCAAGAAGCCCTAGGACAGAAAGAACAGGCCAAGCTGAACATGTAGCACAGCAATTGCAACTGTGCTTTTCAGGTTCCTCCTAACCACCTGTAAAGATACTCAGCAAAACATTTTCCATACTGCAGTGAACTGCAAGACACTGCTCAAGTGAAAAGAGTCTGTTTTCTCAGGGCTTATTCAGTACCTTATTCACACAGAACAACCCCTTTTTAAGGTTTACACATGAATGGCTTCTCCAACATGAGAAGCTTCTGCAAATAGTCCTGCCATGTTTGGAAAACTGCAGATACATTACCTTGATTGCTACTGGATGGATGGTTCCTCCTACCTCAAAGCTTCCCTTCTTAAACATCATTACTGATGTGTTATTTATGCAGGTACCTGGCCAGAATTAAAACAGATTAAGAGTTGAATCTACTCAAAGAATAGTATCAGCAAATGAATCCTAAAAGCTGTCCTCACGGAGACTTAAGTTGCTAGAGGAGAAATAAGCTTTAGTTCTGAAACAAAATCCCAGGGCCTTTTCTCTCTTCCATACTATAAACTAAAGAAAATAGACTGTCAAAAAGCTGTTGTAAAGTAATAGAATCTGACTTCACATATCTCACAAGAGCTAATTAATTCTACAGAATAAAACCAACCAAACACCTCACTTATAAAGACTGGGTATAACAAACTGCACTCAGTGGCAAAAAGTGAGATGAACAATAAAATCAATACAGTTGTTTCCTACCTTCTGGAAAAATTAAAATGGGTAATTTGGCCTTATCTGCAATGTGTTCTCTAATTCTGTGGAGAGAAAATAAAATTTCAGTGTATGCTTCATATTTGTATTTGGCCAAGAACCTAAACACGCATTACCTCTTTCTTAGGACAAGAAAAGCCTTGACCAATTGCTCTTTTCTACCCTAGCCTCAGGTGAGTTGTATGTTTCAAGTCTTTATCTCAAGATTCTCTCTTGCTAATTGCAAAAGTAGGTTTTTTACAAAACTACCATTTTAACCCAGTTATCATGAAGCCAGAGAATGGTGGTATTTGAATCATGTAAAAATCACTTTCTTATCTTTGACAGATTTCAGCTATGAACACAGTCAAATTCTTCTTTGGACTGACATATATGCCGTATTTCAAGTTTTCACATCTTCTAGGTTCATAACATCAGTTTTATATGTATCTAATGAATCTCTACACGTAGTGGAAATATGCCACTACTTTCCCATATTTCCTGCATCACTTAAAAGCAAATGTATTACCACTAAGCAGGTTACTGACATACAAAATCTGTCATTTTCCTGTCTTTCCTCCTATGACTCAAGAGCACGCAGATCTCCTCCAGTCTGCATTAAAGAACAAAACCAAAACATCAGATATCAAAAAGAAAAAAAGCATCTGGGGACTCTCTCCATTTTTCTAAGGACAAACTGCCACAGACATTTACTTAACGTTAGCTGCATTGCACTCTACTTTATGAAGATTTAGGATGACTAAGAACAGTTGCTGTGAGTACCTGAGAATGTAAGAACTGCCATGCTGTCAATCCTGTTCATACCCTTTAAGTCTGACATGCCGTCTCTGCCAAGAATCAATATTTCAGGCCTGGACAGCAGTATAGGCACTAAACAAACAGACTACACTATTCCAGGGTGGTCTTCCAGCTTCTAGCAGCTAGATGGTAGCACCAGCCTCCTGGGTTTTGTTTGGAGTTTTTTTGCTACAGTCAGCCTCCTTTTACTCTTTATTCAAAGGAGATATAACCATCTTCAATGTTCACAGCTGATGAAAAATGTAGCATGACATGGGAAGCAGGTGTACTGACAGAATTCCTATTTCTGTCCTGACATTCCTCAATCCTCCCTGTGGCAGACAAGGCAACTGTGGCAATGTGGAAATTCCCAGAGGTTATGGGGCAAACAGTCAGAAGGTCAGTAGATGATTGCTACACTCTGCACCTTCATTGATGGCACAGTTCCAAACCTCATACTGATGACAACCTACAGCTGCCCACCAAAGGGAGATGCAGGATGAAAACAACCTCAACTCAGGCTTGGACCTCACCATTAAAAGACCTGACAGGACAATTAAGCAAACACCTCACTACCTTACTTTTTCCTCACCAGATGACGGTCTTTCATTTCTGAGCGTTCAAACAAAACGTGCTGAGTGGCTTGCATGCAAGATTTTTGAATAAGTCCCAAAAACCCTCCATGTGTCTGGCCAACCTGCAAGCCCAAAAGGAACTGGTTACTATGCATGACTACTACACATAAATGATAAAATTCTGAACACAAATGCATCATTTTCTAAGCTCATTCACAAATTATACCAATCTTGCTCAAAAGTGGTCACGCACTTGCCTGTGTCTATTATTCTGTAGTCCAGAATGTGAGTTTGAATGCTATCATATCCAACTCTTTCCACCAGTAGGTTTATCCTCTTACCCAACACTACATCTAAGGGCATACCAACATTACCAGTATTTACCAACTCTCTTGTTCATACCAGGGAGTAGCATCCATCACTGGCCAGGATTAGAACATCTAATGGAGATGTGTGGTTGGCTACACAGATGCCACCTTCCTGTGGTCGGTTTTCTCTGCAGTGACAACCACAAAAGTAATTACTTAATGTTTATTCTGCAGACTACAGGCTACACCCATTAGGTGACCCATCCAGTGAGCATACATCCACAACTGAGACTCTCTTTGACAAAAGTATTTCATGCATACAGCCTATCTTCAGATCCATAGGAAGTAGAAGGACACAATACATTTTAAAATACTAAACATCAGTATAATACATATTAAAATTTCTGGCAGTTCATTACAGCAGATAAATCATTTTTCCTTGTACTTTCAAGAGTCCCTTCATATTTCAGTAGTTTTGGTATTTCACCAAACCAGTTTCCTTTTAGCTAAGGAGATGAGACTTCATTTCTGTAGACATTTTAGCTGCATAAATTAACATTCAGAGGCATATATCAAAGAATAGTTGAACACTAAAACGCTAAAAGTAAAGACACTAGAGCATGTGTTTTCTTGTTTTCTAAAGCATAAACAAAAAATATTTCAGAAGCCCCCATTATATAAAGCTCCATCACTAAGCAAGCAAGATATCACAAAACCTTCCTGAAATACCATCCATAACTTACTGTAGGAGAAGCATGAAGAACTAGTTACCAAAAAAATTGTCTGACAGGACAGCTGAATATTTATGTTGATGTTCTTGCATGTGATTATAACGCATGGATGGCAAGCATTGAGAAAATGTTTAAGTGTATATCTAATTGAGAACATAGTACTACTTCACCTTCACATACTCTGCCAACACACAACAGAAAACACAGTAGTGCGTGCAAACATCCTGACAGAGCCTTGATGATCCAAATAGCTTCTTGGATCGAGTTGTACCATCAGAGTATCTGTGCAGTAATGGAATAAGAATCCCACTCTGCAACTTGAGACACTGAGCACTGCAAGAAATCAATACCCACCCAACAAGAGGAGGGTGGCATCACTCACCTGTTGTGGAAATGAACAAGGCCATTCAGGCATCGGATACCTAATGTGGCACATATCATCTGAACCTGGTTGGCCAGCCAGTGTTTAACTCTGAAAGAAATGAAATGAACATACATTTCCACATTCACAGAACAACATAATATAAACTCCCCAAATTATTCCCAATAGCTGTGATTACAAAGACCATATTAAGATTAATTGCACTAACAATGCCATGCAGGAGAAGTTTATCAGGTATCAAAGATATTCTTGTTCTAGTGTTCTACTGTAATCTATTCAAAGCGCACAAGATTCAAAGCAGAGAAGATAATAGTCAGGAGTTTGTTTTATAGATTTTCTCTGGAAATAACCACTATTGACTCATTCATTAACATTAATTTAATAGAAAAATATTTAGCTGATGAATCACATTTGCATTTTTTGCACTGACAGGACATAACAACCTCATAGGACTAATATAAAATTGCTCAGGACAGATGATTTACTTGCCCTATTATAACTTAAGTAGAGCATACTCTATTTTCACTCTGAGACATGCTTCCAGAAGTATCTATCTGGCTGCCATTGCATGTCTACTTTCAGATGCCATTGCCATACTCTCTCTGGTAGTGTTCTATGAGTTTACGGTAGAGAAAAAGTCACCCCATGATAGTCCACATTAATCCTCTGGACTCAACCAGATTTATATTTCAACACAGTAATCAAAATCTTTAAAGAAATATAAAAGGAATGGAAAGAGTCCTCAGAAAATACCTACCTCCCATTAGGAAACTGTCCTACTAATGTAGTGGCTGATATTAGCAAGAGGATGGTGAAAACAGCCAAGCAGATGCTACAAAGGAAAATAATCTTAATTAAATGCCAAGAAGCAAAATTGGAAGAGCAAGCAAGAAAATATTCTCTTTAACCCTTTGATCCGTTTCACAATGCTTCCCTCTGTCACTAATACTATCTAAGCAGCAATAAAATCCAGCTAAGGCCAATGGGATAATACGAGCGCATGTTTTCCGCAATTAATTCCGCACCAAGTACACAAAACCTCGTGCTGCCTGCAGTCTATCTTCCAAAAAGCACCACACCCTGATGTGAAGTTCTCACGTGGTAAAGAAGCTGTTGTGTTCAAAGAGGATGGTAAGTAGTGGCTGGTGTTCTTTAATGCAGATGAGATTTCTCAGTGCCAAAAGGGATGGTTCATTCCAATTTTTTAAACCTATCCAGACATTTCAGAACATGCTTCCACTCCAAGCAGTAAGCTACTATATAATCACAAAAATTAAATAACATTGGTTACTAATGAGTGAGCAAACCCAATATTGAAGCCATTTCTACATAAATGTTGTCTTTTTAAGCTGCATGTGTGAATGGAAGCAGGATATGTGCTCTGCTATGTGATTGACTGGTATGATTTAAACATTGCGTCCTCCCAAAGGAATAAGAAATTTTAAAAGCACTTGCTCTTTACAAGAACATATGAATTTTTGTAACTGTTATTCTTGTAACCATTTGGTCAATACGATAAAGGCTGGGTTTTGCTTAATAGACAATTTTAAAAGTTTGAAAACCTAATACATTCTGTATAGCTGTATCTCCATCCAGCCCTGTGCTCCCTGAACATTGTCTTTGTTTCACACAAGTGTTCAGCATACAGAGACTGATCCTTTCAGCGGAAAAAGTTGTTCCTTTACATAACAAAAGTATCTCCAGATCATTTCTATACATACCAGGATTTTAAAACCAAATGAATTACTAACATCCTGAACATGAGAAATGTGCATCTTCAGCACCTTTTTTTCTTTTAGGGATATCTGAGCTTTGATGGCGTCTTGGAAAATAAAGTCCTGCCAGGTTCTTCATTCTGCACTAGTCAGTAGTGTGTTATTTCACATCTTTTGTAAAAAGCAACATGAAAAACAGATCCCAGCGAATTACATCTGGCTTACCGAAAGGGCATCAGGAGGCAATACCGAATTAGGATCCCAATGACCCACACAACAGTCAGTTGCCAGCTGACATGGTGCAAGTTAGCATTGGTTCTGCTGAGGAGATTCCAGGACACCAGTTCCTCAGAGGAGAACCGCTGGGTGACTTCATCTTCTGCAACTGCCTCACACCCCTTCTTGAAGAAGTATATAACATCAGCAAGGTTGAAGCAACCTCCACGCTGGCCAGCAAGCTCCTCTTCCATGGAGGTTTTCTCTCTCTGGATGATCCCTGCATGAAGAAATGAGTCTTCCTTCCACACAGTGGAATGGACAGTATGGATTCCAAAGACAGTAAAATACATGTGCTTTTTAGAAATAGCTCTCCTCCTACTCCAAGCACTATAATTTCATCATTATATCTCATTTATGTGCTGGCATTTAATTCCAGAAATTACTTCTCTAATGCCAGGCCATATAATACCTCTAAATGACTGAAGAAAGGTGAAGAGCATTCAGACCAAGCTGCAAATAAAACCTTGGGCACAATACCTACAACATGTATGTCATCATCATCATCATCATCATCATCATCATGGCTTGACTTCGCGAACGAAGATTTGGGAAGGGCATTTACCCACGCTTACTACAAGCGCGCTGGTGACTAAGAAGGCCAATGTGGGATAGGCAAACATGTATGTACACACCTAGAAATGGCAACAGTGTACTGCCAAGACGGCAGAGCCCTCCTGGTGCCTTGACTGAGCTTCAAGCAGTGTTTGTATAGTTGTCATTGCTGCTATTTAGTTTTACTTTTTCCCAGTTGTTGCAAACACCTTCCTCTGATTTTTTTTCTCCCTTCCCCAACCCTTTTTTCTTTAGAGTCACTTCACTATAAAGAAATTTCTAAGTGTCTAGATTCCCCACCCTCCCGAGTTATACATTGTGTAACATAGAAACATTGTGTACATTTAAATTATCTTAATGAACTAGCCCCCATCACAATCATAAACTTTCATCCAGCTGCACTTCAGTCAAACCTTCAATGTCCAAGAAATCATCAGACCTAAATTCACTAGCTGAGAACCCAAGCAGTCTACATGACTAAACATGGCACTACAAGTAAAAGGATCACTATGAGAACTCAGCCCAGTCCCCTTTGGTCAAAGAAGGAAAAGTAGTTAGGAAGAAAAAACTTACTAATCTCTCAGACTTTATTCCCATGCCTAGAGAGGGATGCAAATTGTAATTGATCTGCAGGATGGTTAGCTTCTTTACTTGACAGACCCCACCTTTTTGCATGCTAGAAGTTACAAGAAGCACGAATCCAAACAGAGCATCGTCAAAGGCAAAGAATACTCATTCCTCCTAATGTTGTAGAGAAAGCTGATGGAGTTAAGTACTAAATACTCATGAGAACAAGGACAGCTTCTCAAATGCTTATCAGTAACATCCTTCTATACTCACACTAGTCCATAACACTTTTAGTCAGAAGACTCAACCGTTCACCAATTACCTTGCTTATAACATACTTAAAATCTCTTTTGTAGGTTTGTTACTTCAGCAGTTATTTGCCCACCAAACTCCATTTTCGCCATTCCAGTTTTCATACTTAAAAAACATCAGATGCAATTTATATTCCTGTTTACTCTTTTCTAGGTAAGATTTTAAAATAGTTTCCTTTTAACAAGATGAATAGTGCTGTGTCACCTTCATTCAGAGATCTTACCAGTGGAGATTAAATTTTCAGGTGCCATCGCCTTCTGCTTTTTTACTCCCTCCTCAATCTGCAGGGTGGCCCACTGTTCCCAAAACAAGAAAGGTAGATGTTGATGGTTTTCATTTCATCATTTCCAGACATTCTATAATTACCTTAGATGAATTGTCTGTCTCTTTTATTGAACCCAGCTCTTAGATTTTCAGCACAGGCTACCCTGCACGCCTCCTTTTCATTTGTTACATAGATTACCTTTTGCCGTTTTCAGGAAAAATGGTCTGGCACAAGCAGGTAGGTTTTTTTTCCTTGGGCCCCACAAATTACTGAGCTACCTAAGAGACTCCGTGAGGTCTTTGTGTCCAAAACTCTCTTTCCCCAGTTAACTTCAGACAATAGAATGATGAGAAATGCTATCACTGACATTAGAGACATGCTGGAAAAAATAGATTTAAAAATTAATTTTGAATAAGAAAATAAGATTACCTCAGCTTTAAGGCATTCATGCAGTTTCTGTTAACAGAAAACAGAGGAGAGCATTTCATATCTATAGCATTTCTGAAGTAGCAGTTTTAGTAATGAGCTTTCACCTTTCCCTTTTACCTTTCTGAGTTAAAACAAGTTTCTCCTCCCTGTGGAGAGTAGCATAAAATTCCTCCATTAGGAAAATCAAATATACCAATATGCCTAAATTTTGAAGTTTTGAATATTTTCATCATACTTATATAGACATAAATAGTAGCTCTCATGAGTACTAGATATTCCTGTATTCCTACTATTAAGGCTTCCCACCTACAACAGATAAGGACACATCTGTTTGTTTCAGGATAAACTCTTGCTAAACAGTTTATTCCCTCCTCCTGACATGCGCAGCCACTTAAGTTACCATGAAGCTTGACCTCAAATAGTCATCACCACATTACAACATGCTGCATATGCTAACACCAACTAGCTTTTTTGCCATCGTTAAGTTTCACATGCTTTCTACCATCTCCTTCTGTAGCTACTGAAGTCAGTAATAAAAAGGGACACTTTATCATGGCATAAATAAAATATTACAGTTATCCTTAGCTGACCTTTTTTTTACCTGCCATTTTAAAAGAAAATTAAAAAAGAGTAAGCAGAATAGGCAGTGATGTGGTATTTTAAGCTTCATGCAAACTACCTACTACAGCACCATATTGAAAAAAAACACAAAAACCCCCACCACAGGTCTTCACCTTGTCTATAGTTTCCAACTGTTCCCTAGGAAAGGCAAACCATACACCATCTCTCAGTCTTTTGCAACACATGGAGAGTCATTCAGAACTGGGGAGTCAGAAGATGTCATGAAAACAGCAGCCCACACACTGAGATAAGAAAGAATATATGGCAGAGGAACAAGAATATTGCAAAAGAGAGTAAAGGCAGACATGAGGCAAACCTAACCTCTTTACAATGCACTGTTGTCCCTCAACCCTTCACCATTATCCTATAGGAGAGTTGTATGACATGAGGGAGGAATAAAATAAAAACCATCTAGGTTGACAAATAAAGCCTTTTGCCCTACTCTCTTCTTTGCATTATGTTGTCTACCAATCTTATCTTGCTCATCAGGGTCCTCCTACATGATTATGCACCTGCCAGTTGGCAAGCACTGTCAGAAATGGTTTTGTTCATATTGTCTCAAACGATTTGGAATACATCAAGGAGGCTGGCTTTTGAATCCCAAGTAGAAAAGGGTGATAATCACTGACCACTGACTCACCAAATATATGCCAAGTAATTCAAATGAGCAAGACAGGTCAAAACCAACAAAAATTTATAAAGTTCATGAATAAAAACTCCTGCTTTGTAGCACAGAGAAACTGGGACAAAAGTGGCAGTGTATCATTAAATAGTCAGCCAAGCAGAGGACAAGGCAGATAAGAGCTTTCAACAGGTAAATGCTTACACAAAGCTTGTTTGCTTGGAAGAGAGGTGGTTAAGACAGCGTATGACAAAAGTCTACAAATCTGCAATGGCACAAAGCAGGTGCATAAGGAGCAGTTAACATTTTCTCTTCTAGTATAAGAACTGGGGAGCATCATAGGAAAGTGTTGGACAGAAAATATAAGAAAGAAAAAGATACTATCTTTCCACAAAACACAAGTTATGAGCGCATTGTCCAGGACATATTGCCAGAGATCACCTGAAATGGGAAGAGTTACATAAAAACACAGATGAAAATCATCATGGGACACAAAACTCTCCAAATCCATGAACTGGCACTGGCGGCTGAAGTAAAAAGCAGCTGGGAGGGCATTCCTGGCAATAGGACTGTACAATCACACAGCTCTTAGGCTTTTCATCAAGCAATTGAGTTGACACCTGTCAAAGCCGGGCTGCTGGTCTGGGTCAAACTCTGCACTAACCCAGCAGAGCAGCTTCTACACTGTTCTGCATTTGGTAGCATCTGTATGTTCAATTTGTTTTTAAAAATGAAATGAGGCTTTGCGATCACCTTTGTTTTGCACAGTATTGAGACAGAGCTGTCATGCTGGTCTTTGTTGCAAAACAGTAATGAAAGGATGTTTTAAATACCTTACAAAAACACAGATGTTGCAACCAACACAGAATTTAAGCATTAAAAGGAGCAACTTAATTTCCTAAGTTTGATGACCAAATGAGAACTCAGGTGCTGTGCTTTTCTCCTTCCCATTTCTGAAGTGATAGGGACACAAGAAGTCCAAACATCCAGCGAGTGATGCCAGCTGAAATTGTGAAGCCTTGGCAGCTTAATTCAAACAGTCCATTTGTTTGAGGCTTCCTGTAATTAAGTTCTGAACAAAATAAGGGTGCCAAATACTTCATTAAACTATTTTCTTCATAGGACATGACATGAAAAACTATACAATATGGAATGTTCATTTTTTAAAATATCATTTGTTTTTTCCTCCCATTTTCCTTTTAAGTACAGTTCAGTGTGTTGGTTAGTATTCCATTTTTCCATACTACATAATAGTTCTTTTTTGCCTCTCTTCTTCTACATCCCACATTCTACTGCCTCTTCTCACAGAATTTTTTTTCTAATCACTCATTACACTGGCATTTTTCAATCCTTTTCTTGGCTTTGTTCTCATGTGTGACAAAGGCCTTGGGGCAATTACTCCGTTTAAAGTCTTCCTATACAAACAGAAGGTTCACCACCTAAGATCAAGCACTTTCAGGCTTTTCATCCAACAGTCCTTTCTGCCTGGTGTCATTTCTCCTCTCAGGTCCCAGACGAAAACCCAGATCAAATAGTCTCTGTATGATACTGCATGTATGAGAGAATGAGCAAGCAGCGTCTGTCCACAATCAGAGAGTGAAAAGCACTGACAAATCTCCTGGCCATTCTAGTGAGGCAAATGAAACAGGTTGAGAAGAGTCCAAACATTTGTTTGAGATGGTTGTGATGCACTGGCTAGCTCAGGATAACCATGTATTTGAAAGCACAAGTGAGTTTCTTGCACTACCTTAGGTGTCTGCAACATGTGCCCATGCTGCAGTGGGAGTTTACAGCATACTAGCTACCTCAGTGTACAAGTGAGCTATCAACTCAAAGAAAATCCACAATTATTAGCTGGCTGACGTCTTTCCTACATGTGCGTATTTCTCACGAAACAATACTCCAACTGCCTACAGAAGCTCAGATCCCATGAAATTCCAGAAGATTCTGGGCACATGGGGCTACAGCTGTTTAACATGTGCATTTGACTCTCCACAGGACTGTGAGACCATGGTGTAGATTTCATCCTAGCAAACATATTTTCTTTTGCAGCTGCAGTGCTAAAGAGCTGGAATCATGTTCATAGCACAGTTTTGCTAGTAGTGTCATTTCCACCAAACCTCATTACGGACAAGAAAATACAGAGCTTAGAGAAAACACATTATTTCACAATAAAAGCTTACAATCATATAGGAAAGAATAACCCTATCAGAAAGCAAACTAAATTCTTTGTTATTGTTTCCAAAAATAAGTAATGGATAAAGGAAGGGTAACAATAGCAATTATGCCCTAGCAATTATGAAATTGAGAAATTACTGTCTTGGAGATCTTCTACTATCATGCCATCCATACGACCTGAAAAATAAGCTCCCCAAAAGCCACAACATGATAAAAAACCCACAAACACAAAAACCTCACAAAAACTAAAACCCTCCAAATAAAAACAACCACCCCCCAATTTTTCAAACCTTAGGTCTTGCTTTTGCAAAAAAAAAATTGGTTTGCTATAAAAAAAAAAAACCAACAACAAACCAAAACCAAAACAAACAAGGAAAACAAAGCAAAAAAATTATCTAGATTCCCCGATGGAACCTTAAGATCATCCAGTTCCAACCCCCCTGCCATGGGCAGGGACACCTCACACTAGACAATGTCGCCCAACGCTCTGTCCAACCTGGACTTGAACACTGCCAGGGATGGAGCATTCACAACTTCCTTGGGCAACCCATTCCAGTGCCTCACCACCCTCATGGTAAAGAACTTCTTCCTTATATTTAACCTGAACTTCCCCTGTTTAGGTTTAAACCTATTACTCCTTGTTCTATTACTACAACTTTGCTATACATAGATTACACAGTGTTTGCTCCAGTCATTGTTCACACTGCTAAAACACTTCGGTGAAGTCAGGAAATCAAAATTCCTTATCATATGCCACCATTACTCATTGCTTAGTAATACATCTGCAAACTTGGACTTTATCCTAAAACACCTGGAGCTCCTAGCAAATTCCGAAAGGACTACAGCTCTGCTTTCCTTGAAAACACAGCTTTGGAAAAAATATCTTTTGATTTCAAAAATCCTTATCTCAGCCTCTACTCTCATATTTTTCAAATTGACAAAACATGAGGAAAATAAAACATGTTTTCCCTCTGCCTCCTATTTTGCATAGTCATTTACAGCTCTAAAGAAGCAAATAAAAAGCGTAAGGTAAGAACTTTGGTACTAATTTTTTTATTATACATAATAGACTAAAATAAGTGCAATGAAATGGAGAATCTGACATAGTGCTCAAGGCTGGATTATTGATGGAACATCAAACAGTTGTTTGGTACTTCCTAAAAGATTGATATTCCTGCAATATAGTAAGTAGTGTGCTAACACATGACTAAGCATCTGCATTAGCATTTTGAGCTAGCTGTCCAGTAAGGCATCTTATTTCACCATTTAGGCTAACGACAGGAAGCAAAGATGGTCTTTGTGTGCATTACCTCATTAGCAAGATCTCAAGTGACTACGCAACAACTTAATTGCTTCTTTTTTTGATAAATTAATCCTCCACAGTGTGAACACAAAGTCTGCATGCTCATACCTTGTTATAAAAAGCGCAGAAATAAAAACATTTAACATGTTTTTCCAAAGAGAAGTACCTGCCTATATAAAGTACCACTGAGTGGGTCACAAGTCCTTCAAAGCTGGAAAATGCACAGGAGGAACAAAAATACAGGAATTATTTTCATGCCTGCCAACTGCAGCAGCAAAGCTGTCCAGCAACACCTCAGGTTTGTGTTTGATATGAGAGTGCCTGATTAAATCAATTCTAAAGGCCACAAGCCTCTTAATCAGGGCACCAACAAGAATGTAATTAGCATAACACTGGCCAATCTAAAACACGAAAAAAGTGTTACATATAAAAGCCAGTATTACATATAGCCACTGCAGGGACTCATTTCCCATTGACATCAGTATCAGAAAAAAAGTAACCCCGCAAGTTAGCTGTCAGGTACACTATGCTAAATAGCATTCATACAGCCGAAGACAGACCCTGCCCAAGAGCTCTTAATCCATATTGAGAGAGAAGAATTATAAGACAGAAATAAGACAGAATTGGCAAAGTAAGACAATCATATTAAATATATCACATTGTTACAGACATGCTGTACTGCACAAATAGATGGCTCTAACAGCTTAATAATAGTGACAATACTAGCAATAAGTTTTCTGCCACAAACAGAAAGTATATTCACAAAAAGAAGGCTTATGCCAAAAAGACAATATTAATCTACTGGAAAATGGAAATATAACACTGGTCAATATGATGAATTCACAACACCTACTTTTGGCCACTGATGGATATGAAAAGTCAGACTTGAAAAATTAAATGTACTTCTGGCTTATTAAAAGCTCTAAAACACTTCTACTGATATCAGCAGAATCAGGATCTTAGCCATGATCTGTTCATCTCTATAAAAATTACAGTTTTAGAAGGCTGCATTGATTCCTCAAGTATCACACAGCAGAATTTGTGACTGCTGGATGCCTCAAGTTTTAACTGGAAGAAGCAAACACACAAAGTTAGTATTCTTACCTACAATAGTATTCATTAATACCATGTCATTAAAATAACGCCAAAAAACACTGAAATTTATCTACATCTAAAATCATGTTCTTATTACCAATTCTCATAAACTAATACATCCTTTTATTTAAATTTGACTTGTCATGAAGTATTCTAACCAGCTTTATCTAGAAGCAATGTAACATGGAATCTCTACTTGACCCAAGCGGACTTCAAACCAATAATACATGTTATAACCTGGTGCATAATGAAAAGTACTTGTTATAACCTGGTGCATAACTAGATTAAAGGCACCATTCAAAGAACCATCCTGTAAGTTAAAGCTGCAAACAAAACATCCAAGTTAATGGAATTCTTTCTGCTGACTTTTATGGCATCCATGTCAAATATACACATTTTTACTTTTTATTAAACATGTCCTTAGGCAAACATACAACTTTTAAACCCAATTCTCAACTTACCTCAAACGTTGTTATTAGAATTTTCACATAGAAATGAGCAATCCCCACTGACACTCGAAATACTGAAGGCAACAAAACTAATGCCACAAACAAAATTGTCCAGATAAACAAAATCTTGCCCTCTGCAAAACCATAGCCCCCTGTATTTTCTTCCATGTTTGCCCCTTCAAAATGCCAACCTGCTGCCTTCCTGACAATATGAGATCATCTGTAGTGGAGAATCCAGCAAGCTCCAAGAGACAAATAAAACTTAAACATTCTAAGAGCTCAAGCTATCTCTAGGAGAAGGCTGCTGCCGTCTGAAGCCTAACACCACAGACACTCTCAATGATAATGTAATTTCTAAACCCTGTCCCGCCCTAACTCCACCCACTTTTTAATTGATAAGCATTTACTCATCAGATATAATACAGGGGAGAAGAAAGAAAAAACATGATAAGTAACATTATATGCTAAGTAATAAGATACTGCCAATAAAGTAACTTGTCAGTGTGTCAACTAGCTTTCACAAGGTGTCCTACCAGTGGATTACAATACAGAATTAAGTAGGTGCTGCTTTAAGATTGCCTAAAATCTTCTCTTCTAAAACTCATTCAATACACCTGAAACACTTCTCAAACTGACATTTGCTCAAATCAGTGACTTATTTAGTCAGACTTTCTACTTCACAGCAAAACAGCTGCCTTGTTTTGGTATTTGACCAAAGGAACCAAACTGAAGCTTGAGGTGCAAGTCAGGCTTTTTTATTTCATTTTAATATTTAAATTAACTATTTTATTTTAATAACACCTGTGTAATCAAGATGCAAATTTCATCAGGCAGGAATTGACAATACCATAAAACCTGTTCCCTCCACTGCTCTACAAGAAATTAGCCAAACTGTATTACAGGGTTACAAAATGTGCTGTGGTGAAGTAACAAGTCACCCACCTTTATATCTATTTGATTACATAATTCAAATACAATAGGTAAGCAGCTGTCTCCTTCTATCCTATAAAATGCCAATAATTTAATTCAGTATTTTTTTAGGAGACACACAGTTCAGCCAGTTACACCAACCCCTCTCGTGCCTTTTTGTATGCATCACAGAAGAAACAAAGGTGAATAACAATGTCTGGAACCCAAAAGGAGCCAACCAGCTGCTCATTTACCACCTTATCACAGAATAAATTAACTAACCTTGGTGGCATAAGCATTTAGGGCGAAACTTCCAAGATATGATATGCTACGAAAAATCCATGAAAGATCCACGTGATAGCCTATGAAAGGTCCACGAAATATCTTACCTTTGCACATGATTACATTAGCACGTCTGTCTAAAGCCAGGGCTGTCCTTTTCAAATATCCCCATACCATTGTTTGGTTTGTGTTGTGGAGCAACCACAGTACATGCACACTAGATTCCTTAGAAATGAAAGCAGACGCAAAGATCCTCTGCAGAAAGAGTACCCAACACTCTCCAGTCAGTAACAGAAGCGCAGATAGCAGAGTGAGCCGCACCACCACTACGTCCTCTAGTCCATGCAATGTACCCAGGCACCAGCAAGCAGGCTCTTGACATGTTGCAAGCTCACATGATACCATGACTTGCTTCTTGCGCCATATAACGAGTCAAGTAGCTTTTGTACCTTTGGATTTGCTGCTGAATGCCATCCCTCAGGTCTCTGTAACTATACCACATCTTCTTCAGCAATCTGACTTTTCTTTTGCATCTTTTTTTCATTACTTGCCTACTTTACCTTCCCTCCCATTGCTGATCTGTTTCTGAGCCTTCTGTATGTTCTACAAAACCTCATGGGTCTGATTTTTAATTCTTTCTGCCTTCCCATTGCTTTTTCTCTCAATGGCAATTGCAAGCCCCTCTCTCCCATTACACTGCTGCTGCCAGGCACACCATTAGCCACTATTTCTCAGCTTCCTCACCAAAAGGCTGTAGTTCTCGGGTTATCTAGGAACGTTTCATTGTGCAACAGCTTTACCCACCCATTTGTGTTTAGCTAACATTCCTTACATTCTCATTTCTGGTCTCTTCCTTGAGCAGCCTGCCCTGCTAACACATGTTCCCTAGGGTGCCATACAGTAGAAAGCTGGGTAAGTGGGTGTTCACCCTCTGGCACAAAGCAGCACATCTCTAAAGAGCTGCCTTCAGACTCCGCACAGGGGACTGGTATGTGTGTCAGCTGGGCGCTAAAAACTTTGTAGGCGGGAGGGTGGAGGTAGTTTCTGAGACCTCATTTGAGGCAGGAAAGGTGGGTGAAGTGGGGCACACCAGGGCGGTGTAGTGCCTGTGCTAATGAGATGCCTCAGCAATGAGCCTAAGCACACAAAAGAGGGATATTTCTCATAAGAAGAGAGGGGGAAAAGAGCCTTCTGTACCCTGGGGGGAGGAAGGAGAGGTTCTCCTGTATGAGGGAGAATGGTTTTCCATCCTGTGACACATTACCATTTGCACTGCATGTCTAACCCTTACAAAGTCACATTCCCTGCCACTCCCAGCAGCACTCCAGGACTTCAGTCTTGGTTAATTTTCTGCCAAAAGTAGCTGGCAAAGCTTATAAAGTATCTTTCTGCTCTTGGGATCATGAGCATGGAAACAACTGAGACACAATGGTCAAAGCAGGTCTATGTCTGAACTCCAAAGCACTCAGGATTGCTATTAGAAGTAAATCTGGACTTGAAATATATCTCTGCCCTGTATGAAAGTGATGCACTTGCTCACAATGTGAAGAAGAAAGAAAATTCTTTATTTCTCCAGGCAGTTCATAACACTGCTTCCTCTTTTCCAGTCACACCTGTGTGCTCCTAACACAATCACTGATTTATTTCTTTTATTATTATTTCAAAAGAACCACTGAAATGTACATGTTTGTCAGATTCCAGTATGCACAGACATGCATTCAACACCATGAACGTTGACTGAATAAATAGTTTGTGATGGCACTACACGAAATTCCTCAGCACAGTAACTTCTTTAAGATTTAGCTCTGCCATCCATCAACTAAACAGAGCTTCTCCATGTCATTCCTCTACCCTTCTTGCATTTATCCCTCTTACCCATAGCCAGCCTGCTGTAATCATGTCTATTTTGAAGCTGGAAGAGCTACGTAATCCAGACATGTGAAGGTGTTGCAAATAATTCAAATAAACAGGCAACAATAGAATGTAGTTTTGCTCATTTTTAAGATCCAGTAGGTAACAGCTGATGAATTTCTACCAAATAACTACATGCAATTTTTTATTATGAAGTACCTTATATGTCAGGAAAAGTCACCAGACAATGTGCAAAACTGTCTTCATTTGGAAGAATGAAATACAACTTAGAAAAAAGGGACGCTGGTGACACAGGACTAATTTAAGAGAAAAGCTCCCTTCAATTTAACAAATCTCAAATTGACATATGTGATCATAAGAAATTCACTTGAAACAACTAAGATATCCCTGGTCTCCTAGAGAAATGAGACGGAGTGGGTGTCAGCTGCCTACTCTGGGCTCTCGAACCTTGAGGTCATTCTATTAATTTCTTATTTGCAAGTGTCTGAGGGAACTGGAATTACAACCCATTTATTTTTTCACTGCAAGGAGACGTGAACACAGCACTGACCTCTGCCTATCTGTAGTGCCTTATATGGAAGGATTAAATCAGGTATAAACAGGAGTGGCTACTCCAGTGACTCCAAAAGCTGCCCGGAGGGATGTCACAGAGAGGAGAGTCTGCAGCTGCTACTGGCCTGCTTTCTTCTAATGCCTTTCTTATCAGACTACCAGAACACTGTATGTTCCTAGCAAATACAGTTCCAAAAGAGCACTGACACATCAACAACACAGGTGGTGCTTCTGATGTTCAAGTAATACATCTTCTATGGGTTAACAGAGGTATTTCTACAGGCAAATGAAAATAGGCTCCACAACTATCAATCATGGCCAATCTCCTATCAGTTGACATTTTTTACACAAACATACACAGTATATTGTTTACCCATTTTGAGCTGCAACATGATTAAAAGCTGCTTATGTCTAGAAGTACACCCTAACATTGTCAGTAGGTACATGAAGGTGTTAATACTGCTAAAATTGTTCTTTTGTCATCAGCTGTAGGGCTCCCTGGTATTTCTATTCAAGTTTTACCATGTTACAAAGCCCGCAAAGCAGACTGATCTACTTAGAGAAGCACTTTAGTCAATGACACAAAGTCATGGAAGCAAACCTGTGCTGATTCCTCAGCATCTCTTAACATTCAGAGGTACCAACATTATGTTTTGCAGGACAGGAAAGTCTTTCAAACAGACCAGAACATTCTACACTCTGGGAATTCTGATGTGTGTACTCACACATGAAAACAACTCAAATACTTCCTTTTCAATTAAATTTTTACCTGCTGTTTGAAACTAACTAAATAAATAAATAAAAAGGCCCTTTTGGTTTTTCCTTATATCTTCTCAATGTTTCAACCTTACATTCAGCAAACTCCTCATCTGATTGCTAATCAAGGGTGACATCTCTGCTAGTTTTGTTTCCATTTATATTAAGACTGAGGTTCATGCTTCACTTGTGAAAAACCCTCCAAAAGGTCAGAGTAACCTTGAAGCTCACCTATTGCATGGTAAGCAATGTCAGGTGCAATACGCATTTATGGAAAGCACACTGTCTGCACACACTAAAGTGCAAATACCCCCTTCTCTTCATTCATACTCTAACTGATCTATGTCTGCTGCTCTTCAGGCCTGCACAGATCCCATCTATACCACTGATCTACAATGATCACCCATCTACACAGATCTGTGTTTATAACTGACTGCAAAAGACTGTGCTATTTATGGTTTATCTTTGGATAGCAACAGTTGAACTAGGAAAACACTGAAGGAGTATGTTTAAGTATTGTATCACTTACCAGGATGACTGTAACACATTTAGCTCTGACCATGCAAGTGTTACTGTTTCCACACAAGATAAATGTAACAATTACAGAAACTGTTTTATCACATTCTGTAGCTTTGTAAGCTTGCATCTTTGTGTCACAAAATTGGGAAGTCCACTACATGTTCTCGCTGCATGTTTCCCTCAGAGTGTATAGATAGATACACATCAGATGTGTAGGCATTACATGACTGCCAGTACGTATCTCATACATTGTCACTATAAATCTTGTATATGGTTTGTGTATCATCCATGCTGTATGCCACAGAATAATCTGTCAGCACCTGCCCAACATTTATTGCATAAATGCGTAAAATTTTCTCACAGCTCTGGCTTAGGAGTGACTGCAACCACAGCACAGGGTCAATTGAGGCAATTGTAAAAGATGACAGCATTCACCATTTTCTCCACAAACAGCTGTGGAAACTGGCCTTATCCATATGTTCTTACTGCCTCCACCATAGCAACGTGGTTCATAGCAGGGTCATTTGTTGCAGTGTACCACTTCGGTTGTGCTGTACTTACTAGCCATTTGTTTAGCATCACATGGCCTGCACTGCAAGAGAGGCATACTAGCTCTTTTCCATTAATCTTGTCACCATTCTGTATCATCTGGAGACTCATTACCCCCTTATTCAGGGTTTGGGTTTGGGTCGGAAGCAACCCTAAAGATCACCTAGTTCCAATCCCCCTGCCATGGGCAGGGTCACCAGCTTTCTTGAGCCGCCCTTCTTCCAAGACTTTATGCCTCAGTACCGTACCAAGCAGATCCCTGGAGAGGCCAAAGCCAGCTCTCCTAAATCCAGGGTAGCAAGCTGGCTGTACATGCTCCTCTCCACCCTAAGGATCTTGAACTCCACCATCTCATGGCCACTGCACGGCCACATTCTCCACCAGCTCCTCCTTGTTGGTGAGGACAAGATCCAGCATGGCACCTTTTCTCATTGGCTTCTCTATCACCTGGAGAAGGAAGATATCCAGGAAATAATCCAGGAACCTCCTGGATTTCCTACTGCACTAAAAAGGTCAATTTTATATACAACCTAAAAATACAGCCATGAGATCCCAAAGTCATGGGAATACCTCTTGAAAGACTGTCGTGGTTTAACCCACAGCCAGACAGCTTGTTACCCACTCCCCCCCCTTCTTGCCCTCCCCCTACTCCTGGGGGAACGGAGAGGAGAATCAAAAAGAAATGCAACTCCCACGGCTTGAGATAAGAACAGTTTAGTAACTAAGGTACAATACGAATCACCACTGCTACCACCAACGACAACAATGATAAGAGAAAACAGCAAAGGAAAGGAGTACAATACCACGCGCCGAACCGCCAGTCCGACCCGGCCGACCCCCTCTCCTTCCGGGTTCCCCCCCAGTTCCCCCCTCGGCATGACGTGCTGTGGTATGGAATACCTCTTTGGTCAGTTTGGGTCAGGTGTCCTGTCTCTGCTTCCTCCCGGCCTCCCCTCCTCCCTGGCAGAGCATGAGACTCACGAAGTCCTTGGCCAAACCAAAACATCATTTTTATCAGCTTTGTTCCGAGCCCGAAAGTCAAAACACAGCACTGCACCAGCTACCAAGAAGGAGAAAAAATGACTGCTGCTGCTAAACCCAGGACAAAGACCAAAAGAGCACACATCCTATTTCAAGAGTCAGGAAATGAGAGTCTAAGGCTACGAATATGCTTAGCTATAGTCCTGGTGAGGGACAAAATCAAACATTTGCTCTTCTGAAGTGAAAGGGAGCGTTTAGACTAGATCTCTGATCATGTTTCAAAGCACACCGCCACTTTTATCTCTCCCTTTATTACTTCCTTATCACAATTTATTAGGTTACTAACTCAGAAGACTCTCACCACAACCCTAAACAATACAATGCACCTCCAGACATACAGTTTCATTGTCCTGTTTCAAAAGATACAACCTTGTTACAGATAGGAGTGCCAGTAGCCAGTGCACTGCCTTTTCATATTGCAGGCTGGCATGACACAATCCTCCCACTCCAAAGACATGAACCCAGCTCTCTCCACCCACGCTCCCAGACAGGTGATGTGGATGAGGCAGTTCTGTTTCAGTGCTGGTTTGATGCTTTACTAAACCTCTTAGTACAGATCAGTGAGGTGTTTCCTGTAAGCTCAGATCCTGCCCTGTGGAGAGACGTATCATGTCCTGAGGCTTGCCTGCAAGTGACCAGCCAGGCACCACTGAGGCCAGGTCACCTCACCCTCAGGAACAAGCCCTTGCTGCTGCATCTGCAGTCCTTCCCCCCCAGAAGCCACCCATGAGACTGCAGGGCGACTGAGCAGCTTTCCTAAATCTGAGCATTGTTTACACGGTAAAAACGAAACAGAAATGTAGACTTAACAATTACGCCGTTCAAGGCAAACTGAAACGGCAGGTTTGCGCTGAGCCTCGTCGGGCAGGTGGCGGGAAGAGAACGGGACAGTCAAAGAGGGCTGAAGCGGGCACGATGGAAA